CGGTGTTGGTGTTGGTGATGGGGGTGTGGGTGGTGTTGTTGGTGTTGGTGTTGGTGGTGGTGGTGGTGTTGGTGGGGTGGTTGTTGTGGGTGGTGTTGTTGTTGTAGTTGTGGTCGTTGGTGTTGGTGTTGTTGTTGGTGGCGGAGGTGTTGTTGTTGTAGTTGGTGGAGTCGTTGTTGTTGTTGTGGTACATGGTGGCTCAGGCGTTGGTGTACACGGTGGTGGAGGTGGTGGTGGCGGAGGTGTTGGAGTACAAGGTGGTGGAGTCGTTGTTGTTGTTGTGGTACATGGTGGCTCAGGCGTTGGTGTACAAGGTGGTGGAGTCGTTGTTGTTGTTGTGGTACATGGTGGCTCAGGCGTTGGTGTACACGGTGGTGGAGGTGGTGGTGGCGGAGGTGTTGGTGTACAAGGTGGTGGAGTCGTTGTTGTTGTTGTGGTACATGGTGGCTCAGGCGTTGGTGTACATGGTGGTGGAGTCGTTGTTGTTGTTGTGGTACATGGTGGCTCTGGTGTTGGTGTACACGGTGGCTTGAGAGTGGTGGTGCTGCACGGCTCCTGTGGGTCTGCAGGCGGCTGAGCGATGCTGTGCGAGTCTGCGATTACTGCCACAAGGGCCAGCAAAAGGAGGCTTGCTGCGAATGAAATCGTCATTTTAAGTCTAAGGACCTACTTGTACCTGACACTGCGACACTTACAAAAATTCATTGAAAACTACAGGCAGCTCGAAAGGATAACTAACTGCAGTTGGTTACTTTACCGCTTTCGCTTTGGTGCTCTGAAGACTTCTCCGAAGCACCGGCCTTTTATAGTCACCCGTTCAATGGTCGACTCAAGTGGTCTCCGTGTATCTGGGGCCACCGACAAGCAAGTGACCATATTTCCTGATAATTTTGGACCAATTTGCAAAGTGCATTCGGCTAACTTCCTTCCTTGCACTATAGCTTCAATGCGTCAAAGCACCTCAAAACCATAACAACTAATCAAATATTTCAGGATATTCATTTAAAATTTGACTTGGACGGTAATAGCCAATAACCAAATTCCACATATAATCTCAAAAATATCGAAAACGCACTGTACCAGTAGTTTCTCTTTTTAATTATCTTTTCAAAACACTTTGCTAGCATCTTACAAGTTCTGTTCTCAAATTTCGTAATTGCCAAGGTACACGTCGGACTGTCGATAAGAGTTGTATACTTAACGTGTACATATTAGTGTACATATATAAGATATAAGACATATTATCTCGATCTATATCAGCAAAAAGCAATGACCAACCAAGTATGACTGTAAAAATATATACCTCCTTGCGCCACAGGTCAAAGACAAGGCCACAATGGCCTGATGGGCTGGGGCCTTCCGTCAAAGCGATACGCGCAATTCTTTTGAGGTTTGTTTCCTTTGTTATCATCAAATGCCGAGTAAAGAGTTGAATTACAGAACTGATTAGAAGGTACACACATACATAAGTGTATACAATTAGCCGATCAATTTTATTGTGTACATACACACCGCAGAAAGGCCACAAAATACAAAAAAGTCTCCCCATACAAATACGCAGTGTTGTAATCATCATCCAATCCATCCATCCATCCAAAGAGCTCATGCGCAATTATTCGAGTTGGCAATGCTCTGGGAAAAACCGGTTAACTGGGAAGACAAACTGCACAAAAGCCAGCCAGCACTGCCACAGCAATACGAAATGAAAGGAAAATCTTGCTTAAGAATAATATTTCAAGTCGAAATACAGTGGAAGTAGCTCGCGGATGGGATTAGGCCCCAACAAGTGGGTGGGCGGCGGCAGCAAGAGTATACGGAAGAAACTCATCTGCCTGCTTGCGAGCATGCTTGGTTTCACCTTTTGTTTCAGATTGAGCCAGACAGTTTTGGTGGTTGGGGTATGCCATACCTTATAGCTCACATCGTACTCTGAGGGCTTCTCAGCTGACCTCGAAAACGGGTCTCTGTCAAGTGCTCAAGGTGAAATACTCAAATTGAGCATAAAAACAGTGAGCCAATCGAATTTCAACATTGATATTGAATTTCTGGTCACGCAATGGTAAGGAAGCCCCCCTAGCATTTCGATTGTCAGCTGTTTGTGACACGCTGCAATCGAAGGGCTGCATTTCAAACACGATTTTATGCACTAGAATAGCAAATAGTTTAAAGATTAATCTTTCCCCTCTTTCGTGACTTGTCTGCCTCTCGTTGCGACGCGGCTGTTTGCGCTATTGTCTGAAACTTAATGTGAAGATAAGACGTTGCTATAGTTTCAGGCCAACGGACGGACAACAATGCAGCTTAGGGGAAATAATTTGCGTGCTCATCTCCCCATTGTTCTGAGGCGTTCTTCAGAGTTTCTGAGTAGAGCTTTGTAGGGCTGACAAGGGCCTAAATTGCAACAGAATGTTGTACAAGAGCTGCCAGTGCTAAAGCCCATCAGTCAACTAAAATGTTTATGGGCAAAACACGAATGCAGGCAAACACACAGCATACATGCACCACAAATGGAATTATAACCATAAATCATTTAATAAACAGGGGAAGAGGCAGAGGCGGGGGCGAGAGCTACAGTGCGCCAAACAAGCGCGTACCGAAAAGTGGCGTGATCACTATAAATAAACCAAAAACAATAAAAGCAACAACAGAAATATCGTTCCCAATGCGAACGTACGATAAAAAGCAAGAGTGCGAGTAGAAGAGAAGAAGGTGAAGACAAAGAACAAAGAATCAAAATGCTCTAGGTTATCGCAGAGTAGTACAAAAAAATGTATACTGAGGAACAAAAGGGAGAGTAACAGATTTGCTCGGCTTAAACCGCTTCAAAATTGTTGTACTGATGGTTTTGTTGGATATGCCCAGCATAAAAATGTAGCCCAGGGTATGCAAACAACCGTTATATGCTAAATGGCGCCACCAAAGACCCAACTGAAGGAAAAAGAAGAGGCGGAAAATGACAACCGCACAACATCTGGCATCCCACTCAAGGTCATAGAAATAATAATTTATTACAATTTATGCATATGGAGGAAGAGTGGGAGTGAGGAAGAGTGTGCTGAGAGCACAGCGCAACAATTGGACACCCATGCCAAATGGCCTCCTCTCTCTCTCGCTCTTTGTCAATTTACCTGTGATGCTGTCTTAACCCTTTTGGCCCGACGCCATGCATTACAATTACCAATTTATATTTATTTTAATTGATTTACACTTTGCATTTTGATGGACCGGTTCCATTTCCATTGCTGCGCAGTGCCACAGCAGATAGACAAGTTGTAAAATATAAATATTAAACATATGCACGTACATTTATACAACAACAAAAACGTCTTGTTTATTGCTGTTTATTAATAAAAAAAAAATACATACATACTCCAACAGCATTGTGCATGTGGAGGAGTAACCGTGGGAGATGCGCTGAGAGAAAGAAGAGCGAGAGAGCAAATGAAAACAAACTGTTTATGGGTTGAGAAAATATGCCGCCATTGACCGGCCGGGCCTGCAGCAACAGCTCATTAGAGCCGATAAATACTGCCATCAGTATAATGCCATAGAACTACATACATATTTATATGTAAATGCTTTCGGGATGAGGCAATTCCTCGAACAATTGGCTAATTCACCGGCATTTGCGCATTTGTGTGCTTCAACCTTCGATTTCAATTTACATAATAAAACTTTTCGTGATAATGATACGTCAGCTAATAGTGAGCTCTTGCTGATTTCCAAATGTGTCATACACCCAAACAGCCACCCGCTGCCATCAGGAGGAAGTTAAATAGCTCCTATGACACCCTGCAACTCTGAGTCATGAGCGGAGCTGGGTGGGGTCCAGTAGGGGACAATAATATCAGCTGAGCCGCCACACAGAGGCGTGAAAGAGAGCACACACATGCATACACACATATGTTGTACGCCGACGCTCGCTCACATTTACTGTTGCTGCCATTTGTTTGCAAACAAAAGAGCTCCAATTCAATTATCGTGGAGCTCTTTGCGGAAGGGGGGTGTTAGGAGCCATGAAAAAAGTCGGTTAAATCTAATTTCAAGTATCTTTTGATAGAGACAACGGACAGCCAACAATTTTACGAGTATGCGTGTTTCAATATCAGCCAAATTCGCACTTTATTAACACGTATGGACTACATACACATGCAGGCGCATAGGTGGACGGCCGCCTTTACATCGGATGTTCGTATTAGGTCATCAGCATTGAAAATATAACTACTCAGTAGAGTATATTACGTGTATTGCCATCATTTCATTCGAAACGCTAAAAGGTTTTCGCTGGGCCAGCGGATATGGCTAAAACGGATTTGGGCCAGGCCCTAAGCGCTGCAGATAAATGCATACAAATGCATGCATGAATCACACTTTTATTTCTCTCGTTCTTCACCTATGTACATATTTACATTTATATGTAGTTGCCGTTATGCAAATGAGATTACGGTCAGCGGGTGAGAGAGTGGGACAATGAGACAGATTCAGAGTGTGAATATGTATATATGTATGTATGTAAGTGCGACACTTGGCGATCAATTGCCCATGACATCCCCCCGTACCAGCCACCCCACTCATACCTCTGTTAAATGATGCAAAAATCTTTAACTATGCCGAAACCAACGATGCGTCAAGATGAGTCCAATGTACAAAATGTCACGGCGGCGCATATTGTAAAGTTTACTTTTGTTCTAAATTGGAAGCGTACAGTGTGGAAAATTCCACAGATTATTCTTGGCGACTGTCAACAGACACCGCACCCCTCTCCATCTCTGATAAGAAAGTGGGACACCGAAAATCATTCATGTTTTGCATGCCTCAAACTTAAATTTGCATCTGTAGTTGTTGCTCCTTCCAGCCGGCAGGCCAATTGAGGAATGCGGCATTAACACTTTAGGAGCACAGTGCAAATTGCCAATTTCGCGCTTAAGAAACCCGAACAAACAGTAAAAATTCTGGTCGGCTTGAACAGAGGATAACCGGCACATTTAACCTTCGTTTTGATTAACACTTTCTTTATTTTGTTGCTAAGGAAATTACATTCCTTCCAGAGCCCTGCAGAATTTACCTTTTAAGTACTGAGCTTTGTCTGCATTATTAACACTCAAAACATGAATACTTGTATGTATGTATATAAGCACAGATAAACACGCACACGTGCACACACCCGTTTGATTTATGTGTGTAGAAGGCATGGGAACGGATCGGAGCGGAGAGTTATTAGAACTTACCAAATCAACAGAGAGCCCCACCATGTCGGCCAGCCAGGTAAAGGCATGGCTCCCATTGTATAAATCATTCTCAATAAACTTTGGCGATTCCAGCATTTTTCCAGTGTTCGTTCTCCTTGTTGCTGTCTTGACTGCTACTCCTACTCCTCACTACTTCATTTGTGCGATTTTTCGAATGGAAAAATTCTGTATGTACCGAGTCACAGACACTTTGTGCGAGCCCAAACGATGACTCCCTCCTGTTAGGGCGCGTAACTTTGCCGACGCCGCGAAACGTTTACTTATAATTTTGTGCAATATTTTCGAATTTATTTTTTTTGGGGTGTTTACGATTCCGTCCGTCAAAATGTTTACGATTCCTTCAGTGTGACCGCGAAATTATCGATAGAATATACCCTCAGGGCCTCGTAAATATACCAAAATAGACCATATCATCTTCGAAATATACCCTAAATATACCGTAGTCTTAAATCAGATTCTTCGATTTTTATGTTCTATTTAATATTCCTAGCTAGCTACTAGTTTGAGCGCTAAGACTACAATTTTATCGGATTTATCAATAATTTCTATATAAGATTGACTAGTGCTCAATTATTAAAAATATCCTGAAAAGTATATAATATAACTAAAATGGTCCCCCTGCTTGACAACATTCGATTGCCCAGGGCTGGGATCGCCCTCGATGCTATCTAGGGCTATCAAATTTGCCGAAGATCGAATGTCCTACATAATATGATCGGTACTTTTGTGCGATACGCAAATTTATCGCGGTTAGTTTCAAAGGGTATCGAATCGACGCATTGTCATCTCTAATTTGCGCACCACCAACACCAAGTTCTGCGTTTCTGTAATTTTTACTTAAAAATTTGAATATCAAAATGTTGGGCCGCAGCAGTGTCATTGCACGCAACTTCTCGCAATCCATGGTCCGCTTCAGCGGTCATGGTGGTGTTCCCGGAGAGGTGAGGCAAAGGAATTCAATAAAACCCATTGGTTACATAATTGCAAACGCACAAATTCCTTACGGAAAATCAATGATATCATCGGAAAATTGTCTTTGTATTTCAGAATCTGCCGTTCGGCCTGACAAACAAGTACAGGATCACCGCTCTGTTCACCATCGGCTGTGTTCTGGGCTTCGGCTCCCCCTTCCTGATCGTTAGACACCAACTGCTGAAGAAGTAAGAGGCGCTCCCCCCCCCCAGTGGACACCGCGCAGCCAGCACCACCAACAAATGTAAGGTTAGTTGTTTCAACCGCAAACATTCGCTTAAACATTCTCTTGTTCTTGCAGATGTAAGATGCTTTGTAGGTCCAGCCAGGCGGTGCAGTGTGTTACAGCTTAAACTTAAGTGTAAAGTGGAAACGAAATAAAGTTGCTCCCAACTGTAAACCAAGCGGATAAATGTTTTTTTTTAGCTCTAAGTAGTAGGCTTGGGCCTTTTGCTCTCTATCTTACATTAAATAATAGTTGGTGTTTGTCAGCAGTCGACGCTCTCACAAAAAACAAAACGTAGACAATTTTGTAGAAAAAAAAAATTGAATCATGTGGTCTACACTGCGTACTTCGGTGCGCAATATATGCTCCCCGCTGAGTCGCTCTTGCCATCACGGCTACTCGGGCGGCTGTCCGGGTGTGGTAAGTAGGCAGAGTTTTTGTGCGTATTCCTAGTCTAATTCCTACACTCCTGGCGACTTATAGAATTTGCCCTGGTCGAAGGGAATGCATAACCCGATGCGTTTCACGCTGTTCTGGGTCATAATTGGCACTGTGGGCTTTGGTGCTCCATGGTTAGTTGTGCGCCACCAGATGCTTCGTAACACAGGTGGACCACCACCAGAACCGTAAGTAACATCAGATCAGTGTGGTCAAAAGCAGCAACCCATGAAGTTATTTGTATTCCAGCAAATCGGAGGAGGAACACAAGTAGCATGAAGAACACATCGAACACAACAGTCTGCCTAACTACATTAAATTACATTGAATAAAAACCGCACAACATATTACTGGAGGGCATTGCACGTTGTTTTGATTTATATTGTAGTACCTATTTGTTTTATGTATATTAGTTTCGTTTTAGAGTTCAGTCCGGATCAGCGCATGTCGCTGCATAACACAATGGTGATGATCATGGAAATTCGTTAGTGGAATTGACTAGGATAACTACATGTCTAGAGCTCCTCCTTTTCGGCAAAGTCGTACTCATCCTGTACGGGCGCCTCGTCACAGTATTTGGCCTGCTCTGAGCAGATTTTGATGTCCAAATCATTACCCAGCTCCTCGGCCTGGAATGCTTTCAGGAAGATCTCGTCATTGTCCTCTAGCACCTCGTTGCAAAAGTGGCCCAGGCTTTTGTTGAGATCACCGTCTTGCACGAAATCGACCAATGATGACTCCGGATTCATCTGTCCGTTGACTATCATCTTCAGCAGTGTGAACTTGCCGTTGCTCTTGTAGGTGGCCTTCAGGTAATCATCCATTTTTTCACCTGCCAGAGGGTATTAAAAAATTACGTGCTATTGCCGATGCTTCGATGTTGTGCAACTTACAGATCTTCTCCATGAGCTCAGTGAGGAACATCTCAGACTTGATCAGGCGTACACGCTTGCTCGCCGAATTTCCCTGCGCATCCAGACGGAAACCACTCACATCGACCTTCTTATTGGCATCCTCCTTGGCAATGGCTTCTTCCAGCTCTAACACTGTGGCCTTGCAAACTGTAGGAAACAGATAAGAGTCGATTAAGAAGCGTGCCAACAGGTCCGCATCAGCCTGTTGCTGCCTCCTTACCGTGGCACTTGACTTCCTTGGAGGTGAAACTGTAACCTTGGGCCACCACCACGAGGCAGCACAATAGTAGAGGTAGGGTCTTGCTCAGCATGTTTTAAAACTATGTAACAATACTTGAATTAACAAAAACTAATAGTTATCGCAATTATTGGCTCCTTGGACCACGTCAGCACAGCGCTTGCGGTTTGAAAGTGCGCGAATAGATAGCGTCTACCGTGGGATATACGACTTTAGAGCTACGTGGACTATGTAGTTCAATTACTCTAATCAGTGTTGTATTTAAATATGCTGCGGGCTGCGGGGCGACGGTAATAATAAATAAACTAAATATTCGAGTAAAGTAAATAAAGTCTGACAATCAGTGTGAGCGCCGAGCTATCGATAAAAGATACCGTCTGCCCCGACATCTATACCAAAATAAACCTTTCATTTTAAAAATATACCGTAGTCTTAAATCATATTCTTTGATTTTAAAGTTCTATTTGATATTACTAGCTTGCAAAGGCTTTTAACACTGAAACAATAATTTAATCCATTTGAGGAATCAATTTGGCTTATTTTACATACTCCTTTTTTATTGAATTGTATACTTTATGACTTTATACAATATTATACAATGAATCAATTTCGTAGTCTAAATAGCATGAAAAGTATATAATATACCTTAAATTGGCGACCCGACCTATGTGTGAGAGAGTTTCGCCGCAGGCGCCTGTGTGTGTGTGAGAGTATTTAATCGCCGCAGCGAATTGGACATCGACATCGATATTTTCTTGAAAAAATACCGTAAGCGGTATAAAATATGTTGTCGTTTTTCAGCACGAATTAGGAAGAAGAGCTAGCGCGGGTCTTTTAAATTTACCAGCATCGATTACAGCAGAAATCGTGCGATTTGCACAATATTCTTGACCGAGACTGTCTGCCTGGGCCAGAGAGATGACTGTGGCCCTCCCAGCGCTGATAACTTGAAGAGTCTCATTGTAAATAGAGAATTACTCGTGTGTGGTTCGCGCTGCGCTTCCCAATATAAATGCAATCGAGTAATATAGTCAACCGGGAAATTATTGGTTTACGCGGGCACGCGGGCACTGTTTAGTGTTCACTTATACATGCTCTTATTAACTAATTCGTCTCGCGAGATCCCCTATAATTGGCGTTAATTGAGTGTCTGTCTCTGCTTGTGCTTTTGTTTCTGTGTTTTGTGTCTCATATGATATGTGTTCGTGTGTTCGTGTGAGTGTGTCGTTGCGGTCGTGTGTGGGATCTCTGGGGGAGGTAGGGCCTGCGCCTGCCCCGACTGTTTGCTTGGTTAATTGATAAGAGTGAATTGTGCATTTAGTTTTGCAATATTTATAGAGCGAACTGCCGCCTGCCCGCTGAACGAATGTGCAGCATCTACCAAAAGTTGACGCTTGTTTTCCTGCGATTCAGTTGACCCCTCTACGAATATTTCTGATCCCCAATCGGCGATAAGAGATCATTCATTGAGCACTTAATTATCACAATTGTCATGAATGGATCACTATGTTCGCTCAGCAGGTGTTCAGTAAGGATTTTAATGTACGGCTAACTTTATTTTCAAGATTAAAACTCAGTCCGCATCAGAATTAATGACGGCAGACACAAATAGCTTTGTTGTTGCAGTGTCCACCCTTGTAGCCTTTTGCAATGCAGTGGGCGGCGCAGGCCGTGTGATTTACGTTCCACTTCGAAAGCAGATCGCAGGTGGCTCGCTTCTGGCGACTGTGCACGGAGACATCCTCGACGGGTTGCTCCATCAGTTGAACCAATGGCTTAGCCACATCCTCCACGATAGGCTCCTCTGGCAGCGGTGTAGCTTTCACCAGACACAAAACAGCCAAGGAAATAGCAAGGAAAATGATGAACTTCATTCTGGAGTCTTCGTAGAGTTGATACTGTTCTGTCTGATCGTGGCATCTGTGGCTTTTTATAGCAAACTTCGCTGAGTATTGTCTGAGCGATTCGCGTAGGGACTCCCACTGGTGTGGCCTACTCCCATCTGTCATTTATTTATGCACGGACACGTCTTGGGGGATTTTATTTGAATGAAAGTACTTTCACAATGCGATGGAAATCCCGCTGACTCGCGGGCAGGCTATTTGAGCTTATCATGTGTCATCCCTTTTATTGGTATATAGTGGAGATGGAATATAAAATATAAATTAAAATAACACTAAAGTTGCTTTAGCTTTTTAGCACCGTAAATCTTTAAAGATAAAATGCAAACATAGCAAAGTCTCAAAATATCCTATTTTCATTGAAAATATTGCTTATATTTCGTGTACAATATTATTTGCTGATTTGGTGGAAATTATAATGGCTTAAATTTCTAAGTAACTGTTAAAGCCGCTCCACCAACCGAATTGTTGCAGATGCAGATACAGATTCTCATATACAGATACGCAAACGCAAGACAATAAATAATTTCAACCGAAAAAGTTCTTCATAAAGAAAGACAAATAAACAAACAAGAATCACAAAATGATTAGTTGGCCACAACACATAAGGCGGGTGTATTGTATGTGTGTGTGTGTGTGTGTGTGTGTGTGTGTGTGTGTGTGTGTGTGTGTGTGTGTATCTATATCTGCATCTGGTTGTGGACTGAACCGACCTAAACCGACAATCCCACGGGCTGTAGCTGTCGCAGTAGCAGGGCCATGCCATGTTGTCTCTGGCTCTCGCCCTCAAGTGCCCCTTGTCGCTGCCTGTTTACCTTTGTTATCGACCATGTTGTGTATTGAATTTGGCGTCATACTGTCTGGCCTGGCCCGTCTTCCCTTTCCACTGTACTTCAGCGTAACCTCCTCCTCTTCGTACTCCCCCCTTCTGCTCCTTGGCATGTTCGATCGTAAAAGAG